GAAGGTCCTTGAAAATTTGATTTAAAATTCAAAGTTTATGTATTGAATTTCCGATTTCAAAGCAATGGAAGAAACGATTAATATTTTACGAAGTACGCGATTGAATATTGTATTGTTCAAACCCGTATTCTTTTATAATTTTCATCATGTAAATTATTGGGATGATCCTACACATATTGGAGATCAATAATGTGATTTAGGAAGTTGACTTGTTCTAAATAAATTAGGATGAGTGCAAAAAGACATCTTTTGACAAAGATAAAACAATAGGACCCATTTCCCCCATTTTTGGAAGTATTGGTAGATAATTTGGACCCCAAATTAATTGGGATCAATTGGGAACCACTCCACATGATATTAGTACCTGCAAAACAAATAAAAATGGGTTAGAAGACCTACCTTGGCCGTCCATAATGGAGGGGAGCTGCACATGACTTGATAGGAATCAAAACTTGGGCCACCATCCTTATTTTCGCACAAATTGGTGTGCTGTTTGTCTCCTCTCATTATAGAAGCTATACTCGACCAAACAACGTGAATAATATGTCCTTGGATAGCCTTTGAAGTCTATTATCTCAATTGAGTGGTCTTTGTTCGAGGAGAGAAGGCTTATCTTACAAAAATCGAGCTGGAACGAGCAGAGGTCTGTGAACTCGAGCTGTGAGAGTGCTGAGACTGTCTGGTCGATATCTCGAGTTTTACAAATCCAATTAAGGCGTGTGAGATACCCACAGAAAGCTCTCAAGACGAGGAATCCGTGAAGGTCTGGTTTGCAGGAATCGGAGTTGTGGAAGGCTTCCAAATCGTCCGAGAAAAACGCAACCTCGCAGGAGAGGATTTAATCCTCTAAAGTGAGTTTTAAACCCCAAAGCTTTACTTTTCATTCTCCAAATGATATGAACGATTGGTGAGACTATTATACACTAATCCAAGTGTATAATATGTCCTTATAAAGTTATTTTATTGATGTAAAGGTTAGATACTAACCTAGATGCAAATATTGGAAAACTAGGAATCGAGTTAGCCGGAAAACACCCGTTCTAGGGGCTGTTTTCGTATCAACGATTAAGGGTTGAACTAGCACTTTGAGGAGGCTGTTTAACACTCATATTTGAGCAAGGAATCAGTTCCAAATCCACCTTGACCAAAGCTTTGACCATTGGACCAAGAAGGGAAAGTTTAAAGCTCAATTGAGGTGAGGATTGACATCTAATTGCTTACAACTTGTAGGTTAAGCATGAGATTACCTAAATGCTTAAATCATGATTTTTCATGGATTATGATGATTATATATTGATGAAATACTGATATAGTTGCCAAGGAATGAAATTTGAAATGATTTGAGAAGGTATGAATAATATGAGATTAAATGAGTATAAATGAACTATTTGTGAAAATGGGCATTTTGCTCATGTATGAATTATGTGGATACATAAATAAATATTTGTGTATTGAGATTGAATACTTAAGTTGCTGCTACATAATTATAAATATGTAGAGAATTACAAATAATGAGGATAATGGTATGATAACAATAATCTTAATAGTATTGAAATACTAGTTAGTGATTATTGGAACTTGTTGATTAAATTGATCCTAGGGATTGGATTGTATGAAAGGTACTTGAATATAGTTCAAGTGTATATAATAACTTAGTTTGGAACTAAGGTTAAGTTATGGGAAGTCTTTAAGGATGACCCAAAGTAGTTTAATGATATGTCAATTCTAGGCATAGGGTTGCTTGAGAATTGGACCTTAATGCATGGTGATGTAATAGAGCCGAGCTCTAGAATGCATGTAAGGTGTAGACTTGGAGTCTATGTATTGTATAGCTAGAGCCGAGCTCTAGGACTTGCGTGGTGATGTAATAGAGCCGAGCTCTAGAACGCAAGGTAAGGAAATTGACCCGAGGTATATGAATTGTATGGTGATGTAGTAGAGCCGAGCTCTAGAATACAATGTCATGTACTAGGGTTGGACTCTAGGAGTTGTCGTGGCTTATAGCCACGGGGTTGGGAATGGTGATTTCCAAATGAAAATGGGCCCACGGGCCGACTACTTGACTTATATATAAAGTAAGTATATTTTTAAACGGGGTAACCTAGGGTTACAATCATAATGTACTATCACCCTATTTGAGGGTCTTGTGTTTGAAATACTTGTTGTATATCTATTAGATGCCTGCCACACCAGTACTTTATAGCCGTATAGAGTACTGACCCCTTCGGGGGCGTCCCACCACCATTTCAGGTTGAGGCTAGAGCTTGCATCCTGTGCTCGTTGATCGAGTGATTCCTCGGAGAGAAGACTTGGTTCGTGCTTCCTCCATTCTATTTGAAACATTAATAAATTTGCTCATGGATATTTTATTATAGAGCCTGCGTGCTCATGAATAGCCCTGTGTGGCTCTTTCGTTTTAAACAATGTTTTCCGCTGCTTTATGAATTACTTATTATGTTGTTTATGGATGACTTATGTGTGAATGATATTCATGACGCCTTGTATAATATGAATGTGTTGGATTGCGATTGACTATTCGTATTGTACGGCGGGTTGTTGACGTGTCCGGGGAGGTCCGGGGCGTGACAGGTTTCACCGGGGGCTGCGTGGTTTTCCTCAAGGGTTTTGGATTGAGCACGAGTTTTTCCCATTTTCGGTAGGTGTTTTGTGTTTGGTAGAGGGGGAGGGTTTCTTACTTGATTGTTCAGACCTCTCAACGAGAGCACCAAATGATGGATAGTCTACCCGGGGGATATCTTATCCGAGGGGTTGTTGCGGGAATAACTTAGAGAGAAGTCAGAGTAAATAGGAGGAGAGAGAGTCGATTTATTAAATGAACTCTGCATGTGAGAGTTGGGATCTCGGATCGTTTACAATGAGGAATGGGCTGCTATTTATAGCAGCAATAAATGCGATGAGGGTACACGTGTCAGTAATCCAACGGCCGAGGGGTCACATCAATCGGGTGGTACCAGCAGTGGTACGTTCACTGCATTTAATGCGGTTGGCGGATGTGACATTGCATTAAATGCGGTGGTTGACTGTCTCCAAAAGGAATCTTCGATGATTGAGCGTGTTTGGCCGAAGGCTCCTCGTGTAGCCGAGGGTTCCATGTGTAGACGAAGGCCCCGCGTGACCGGAGGCTCGGTTCAGCCGGAGGCTCCTGTGATGCCGAGGGCTTGATGATGCCGAAGGCTCGATGATGCCGAAGGCTTCTGTTTTCTGCCGTTTTCTCCCAGTAGTTTCGTGTGCCCAAAAAAGCTATCCTGTGATTTCTGGAGCCTTCGGCCAAGGAGGCCGAAGGCACCCCAGTGTGCATTCTGGGCTACTTTGAGGCTTGAGCCGTTGCATTTGGGCCTGGGTCGTTCTCTGGGCTCAATGGACTTGTGTAGGAGAAGTAGGAGTCTATGGGCCGGGGGTTCCTGGGCCATATACTCCATCAGATGGGATTGTATGAAATGCACTTGAATATACTTCAAGTGTATATGATGACTTAGTATGAAACTAAGGTTAAGTGGTGGGAAGTCTTTAAGGATGACCCATGGTAGTTTATTGGTATGTCAATTTTAGGCATAGGGTTGCTTAAGAATTGGACCTTCATGCATGGTGATGTGATAGAGCCGAGCTCTAGGATGCATGGTAAGGTGGTAGACTTGTAGTCTATGTATTGAATAACTAGAGCCGAGCTCTAGGGCTTACGTGGTGATTTGATAGAGCCGAGCTCTAGAACGCAAGGTAAGGAAATTGACCCGAGTGACATGAATTATATGGTGATGTGGTAGAGCCGAGCTCTAGAATACAATGTCATGTATTAGGGTTGGACTCTATGAGTTGTCGTGGCTTATAGTCACGGGGAATGGGAATGTTGATTTCTAAATGAATATGGGCACACGGGCCGACTACTTGAATTTTATATAAAGTAAGTATATTTTCAAACGGGGTAACATAGGGTTACAAATCATAATGTACTATCACCCCATTTGAGGGTCTTGTGTTTGAAATACTTGTTGTATATCTATTAGATGCCTGCCACACCAGTACTTTATAGCCGTATAGAGTACTGACCCCTTCGGGGGCGTCCCACCACCATTTCAGGTTGAGGCTAGAGCTTGCATCATGTGCTCGTTGATCGAGTGATTCCTCGGAGAGAGGACTTGGTTCGTGCTTCCTCCATTCTATTTGAAACATTAATAAATTTGCTCATGGATATTTTACTATAGAGCCTGCGTGCTCATGAATAGCCCTGTGTGGCCCTTTTGTTTTAAACAATGTTTTCCGCTGCGTTATGAATTACTTATTATGTTTGTTTATGGATGTTATGTGTGTGAATGATATTCAAGACGCCTTGTATAATATGAATGTGTTGGACTGCGGTTGACTATTCGTATTGTACGGCGGGTTGTTGACGTGTCCGGGGAGGTTCGGGGCGTGACAAACTATTACTTTCATTTTCTAATTCTAAAATATAAGAATTGATCAAATCGAACTAAATTAAACCTAATACTTTTCATTTTGGTAAACCGAACCGAAATCGAACCGGAACCAAACTGAAACACTAATGGTTTTAGTTTGACACAAATTCTCCCAACCCGAATAAACTGAAACGGAAGAAAATCAAACCTTAAAGGGAAAATGGAAACTAATAATCCAACCTTTTAGCGGTCTTCTTTCAATAATCCCACCTTTTGATTATTCATGAATAATCCAACCTTTGCACCCCATCTTCATTTGTTGGTCCCTGACCGGTTAATAACTTGCTATTCCAAGTTATTTTCTTATCTTTGCAAAATATTATCTTTGTGAAAGATGAGATTTATGGTATAATGATTTGCAAAGATAAGAAAATAGCTTGGAATAGCAGGTCATCAACCGGTCAGGGACCAGTGAATGAAGATGAGGTGCAAAGGTTGGATTATTCATGAATAATCAAAAAGTGTGATTATTGAAAGAAGACCGCTAAAAGGTTGGATTATTAGTTTCCATTTTCCCAACCTTAAACCGGTTTACCTACCCCTACTTTTTACCCTTTCCCCTTCAAAATTTCTCCCCCCTGCTTTACGTAATTACGTGAGAGGTTCACGGTCAAAAAACCTGATGGATTTGGAGTCGATAAAGAGATTGCTGGAGGGAGAAGGGGAGGAACATGAATCTCCCGCGGTGGTAGATTCCATGCCCTTAAGATTTATTGAGCCATTGATCTCCCATGGATTGAAGATCCAGATTGTCCAGCCCGATCGCCTCCTCTGCTCATTCAAAGTCCCCCCACGCATTGTGGAGGTACTCTTCTAATTTCAACTTTCTGCTGAATTTCTAGGTTTTCATTTTGTTTGATTCACTTTGCTGACTACAATATAATTACTCGTGCGGGAATTTATTCATTATCTCATTGTGGAGGAATAGCATTCCAACGGTTCATTGCACGACGGAGTGATTGCGGCGCTGGTGGACGTTATCGGTGCGGCGGCCGTGTTCGTCGGTGGTGCTCCGGCGACCGGCGTCTCCGTTGATATCAATGTGTCTTATGTCGGTGCTGCTTATGCTGGTGTACGTGTTTCTATCTATCTTCAATCAGCTGATTCAGTGATTCACCACAAAAAAGTACAGTAGCTTATTTTTACTGACCACTGTACATCGTTTCTTCGTCCCAAACTCCCAATTGCTCAATAAATGTGTTGATTTGAAATGATTTTTTGAAAACGATCAAATGGATATTTAAGAAGTTGTTCAAAACAGAAGTAAAATATTAGACAAAATTCTACTAAAATTGTACTCAAATGGAGTATCAGTTTATTGATATTCCAGTAAGTTGTTTTGACGAGTCACTATCATTAGCGGATTGAAGTAAACTATTTGAATCGCTATCAAAACCGAACCGTTTAAACCGAACTCACCCCTAGGTTAATAAAGCCTGTGTTGTGCTTTCAACATGACTGCCTAATTAATTAACCCCTAGAGTAGGAAATCAAATTGAACCAAATCCCAACTGGACCAAATCAAGCTGAATAATTCGAACTAAGACTTCATTATATGCAAATTGGTTATACTTTTATGATGGTTATCCAAATTGTATATTCTGAAGCCTCGACTGAATCTAACCAAATAAGATCAGATTGATGCATAAAAAAACCTCTATACCTTCAAAAATGTTCCAACTCAGCCAAACTAAAAAACATAGCTTAGTGTGAATATTGAACTATTTTATTGCTATACAGACCACTTAAAAGCCAAAACTCCTCATTTTATCTGTTCTAAACAAACCAAAGCTGGTACCTAAAAAAACAAACGAAAGCGGTTACCCGAAAAACAAACCGAACCCAAATTGTCAACCTCTAGCTTGGGTCCTTCTACAAACACTGCACGAAACACCAATACTATGTTCCAATTAATTTCTGTCCCATGGTATCTTTTTGGAAATGCAAGCTACATACTACAACAATTAGCAGAGTAATTCTTTTTTTTTTTTTTTGGCAGGACGAAATTGAGATAGATGCAAAGGTATTAGGCATAAAGAATGCGATCGCTGTAGTGAGTGTTGAATTAAGGAACACTAAGACAGGAAAGGTTATCGCACAAGGGCGTCACTCCAAATACTGGGGTTTTCAACAACTTAAAAGTAAGATTTGAAGCTATCAGCACCATTTATGGATCAATTCATGGACCTCTATGCAGAAGTTATCTGAGGACCACCAGTTCATTTTTATGACATATAATACCTTGTTTTGGCTTTGCTTGGTTACCATGTATCATGTATGAGCCATTAGTTGGTTGTATTGGTTTATGCCAATTAGTGTGTGATAATTACAATTATTATAGTTATAATTACATGCACTTATTTGATTTCATCATGTATTGGAGCATACAAACGGCTCTGTGTCTATTTTTAACGCTCGCGATCGGATCAATAATAGTTGTCTGGAGGTTGTCTTGCATGTTTTTTTATATCAATATAAGCCGTTTATAATATAAAAATGGTTCATCACATAATTACATACTTTCAATTATAGTCTGCATATCAAGATTCTGGGTCTTAAGCGGTTTTGATGTGTCAAAAAGTATTAGTCACTTGACTTTAAAATACTCAAAAAACATACTCCCTCCGCCCCATAGACAAGTTCTCATTGCTATTTACAAGTTTGACTGACGAAAAAGAATTCAATCTTTGTTCACACTCAGATTATTTTTAGTAAATAAAATTTACATATTCAGAAACTTCATTAAAACCGCTACAAAGTCTGATCATGAAAATTTAAGTTTGACGAACCAGGTCAAGGTAATCTTTAGTTTGATCACGAAAAACCAATACTATTTTCCAATTAATTTCTGTCACATTGTATCTTTTTGGAAATGCAAGCTACATACTACAACAGTTAGCAGAGTAATTATTTTAGTTTTAATTTTTGGCAGGACGAAATCGAGATAGATGCAAAGGTATTAGGTATAAAGAATGCGATGGCTGTAGTGAGTGTTGAATTAAGGAACACTAAGACAGGAAAGGTAATCGCACAAGGGCGTCACTGTTAAATGTCCCACACCGGAAAAGTTTGGATGAACGAAGTGCTATATTAACACATGGGCTACTCCTCCTAACAGGTTGACCTTTTAGGATGGAACCCCGTGTCTTAACATGGTATCAGAGCCAAATTGATCCATGGTGTGGGGCCCCTTATGAAAAATGACGACACAATAAAAAAAATTGACGAACCGATGAAAAAATGAATGACGACACGATCCAGACGAAGTGTCTGGTCGTGAGGTGGGGTGTTAAATGTCCCACACCGGAAAATTGAGAAACACTAGAGTGCTATATTAAGCTTCGGGCTACTCCTTCTAACAGGTTGACCTTTTAGGATGGAACCCCGGGTCTTAACATTATACAATTTCATCATATATTGGAGCATACAAACAACTTTATGTCTATTCTTGACAAAAACTAGGAAAAAGTACGGAAAAGGTACTTGTGGTTGAGCCCGTTTTCAGATAGGGTCATGTGTTTCATTCTTTATCAAAGTGGTTCATGTGTTTGAATTCCGTTATTACAAGAGGGTCACGCCGTTAAAAATGTCTAAAAAAGACTGTTAAAAGTAACTCCGATTTTCAAAAGTGCCCAGAAAATTAAAAGAAAAATACCGAAAGGTGCGCCTCATCAAGATGACCTCCAAACCACCTTCGCCTTTGGATTTTTCAGATTTGTTTGGATTATTTTTTACAAATGATTTCGCTGATATCACTTTTCCGGTGGACTTTTCGGTGACAAGGGTGGCTGAAAACAAAAAAAGAAAGATGGCCTAGCGGTCGTCTTATTGAGGCGCACCTTCCGGTATTTATCTTTTAATTTTTCGGGAACTTTTGAAAATCAGGGTTACTTTTAACGGCCTTTTTCAGACGTTTTTAACGGCGTGACCCTCTTGTGATAACGGAATTCAAACACATGAACCACTTTGATAAAGAATGAAACACATGACCCTATCTAAAAACGAGCCCAACCACAAGTATCTTTTCCGTACTTTTCCCCAAAAACTATCTCTAATCAACTATCATTGTATCACAATCAACCCTAGAGCTAGACTCTGAGACGATCACCCTTGAAAGAGCAATATGAATCGCTAACCACCAAGCGGGTGTGACACAGCAATCACTGTCCATATAAATCAATTCAATTGGAATAGACAAATCATGAAAAAAAAATAGTCCAATTAAAAACATTGTAATGGAGCCCTCCCTAAAATTTAAAACAACATATTACATTAGAATTGGCTAAAGGGTCAAAGAGGCCCTTTAACTAACTTAAAAAGTGCAAATCACCTCTTATATATATAGAAGACTCTGTCCGTACGTCGCCATTTGGGGTGGTTACCGGTGGAATTTTTTTATGAAAGTTTTTGAGCATCTTCTTCATTAAGTATAGTTTACTCATACCAAATTTCAGCTAAAAATTCAATCGGGAAGGCAGTCAAATGAATTTTTGAAGATAACTGCGCAGCTAAACAGTGCAGTACATTTCAGAAAATCATTTGACTGTCTTCCCGGTTGAATTCTTATCTGAAATTTGGTATGGATAAACTAGACTTAATGAAGAAGATGCTCAAAAAATTCATTAAAATTTTCCACCAGGAACCGCCCCAAATGGCGATGGCCGGACAGAGCCTCCTATATAAGGGGTGATTTGCACTTTTTAAGTTAGTTCGATGGTTTATTTAACTCTTTAGCTTATTAGAATTTAACAAATGTCTTGAAAGTATTAATGAATAAAATTTTGGATTAATTAACTTATTATAAAGTTAATCACAATACAAGCAAGGGTGAGACAGACATAAAAATTAAACCACTATGTATCTTATTATGGAGTTAATCATTCATATTTTAAAAATATTCATGAGTAAATTTTTATTTATCACCAAATTTGAGATGATGACTCATATTTTGGTATAAAAATACTAAAAGAGACTACAAATATTATACAAATAACCTCAAAAACTAAGTCCTTGATTACAATATAATCGAGAAAACAAATCTTAAAAACATTTCAAAATCATGAATATGAATTTTATTCATGTAAGTTTATCAATTTTATAACTATGGAAGTCTGGTATGATCCGATCTGGTCTGGGAAAAAAAACCGTCCAAAAGAAAACATGCTTCATCAATCCATCAATTCTATGTCATCTTCTTATCAATTCATGTTTCTAAAGCTTTCTTTTGGTACAAAAAAACTAACTTCATAAAGTTAGAATGGAATTATACAACGAAAAAAAAAGGAATTATACTACGTAATTCAAAACAATTTAAAAATACCATTACGAATTCTATGTCATCTTCTTATCAATTCATGTTTCTAAAGCTTTCTTGGTACAAAAAAAACTAACTTCATAAAGTTAGAATGGAAGTATACAACGAGAAAAAGGAATTATGCTAAGTAATTAAAAAAAAAAAATACTGTCACGCCCCGGACCTATCCGGACACGTCAACAATCCGCCGTACAGCACGAATGGTCAACCGCAGTCCAACACATTCATACTATACAAGGCGTCTGGGATATCATTCACACATAGTACATCCATAAACAAACATAATATAAAATATTCATTCAAAGCAGCGGAAACGTTTAATACAAGTATTCAAGCCACACTTGGCGTAACATGGGCATACAAGCCATCAATAGTTATTCAAAAGATAACATCCATGAGCATTAATTTAACTGAGTTTAAAACAGGAACGGAGGAAGCACGAACCACGTCTTCTTCTCCTGAATTCTCTTGGAGCAACGGCGAGGGTAGCAACCTTCAAGTTCTACCTGAAACTGTGAGGTGGCCTCCCCCGTGAAGGGGAGGTCAGTACTTGGAAGCATTTGACAAGTACAATGACAACTATACTAAGTATAATCAAAGTTTCAATTTCCAAGACCCTCAATCTAGGATGTTAATATTTTATAGGTCATAATCCGTGGTTACCCTCTTTGAAAGTATACTTACTTTATATATAAAGTCAAGTGGTGCCCGAAGGACCATGTTTACTTTGAAAACATTTAACTCTTTCCGCGTGACTTCAAGCCACACCCATATATATTAGTTTACCATGCTAGAGGCTTCCTCTAGTCATGTTTTGTCGTGCTAGAGGCTTCCTCTAATCACCTTACATACGTTGTGCTGGAGGCTTCCTCCAGTCACATTACGTCGCGCTAGAGGCTTCCTCTAGTCGTCCTACACGAATGCTGGAGGCTTCCTCCAGTCATTCTTCATCGTGCTAGAGGCTTCCTCTAGTCACGATACTAGTTCACTAAGCAAGTTCTATGCCTAGAGTTCCTCTATTATGAGTAGCCTTTGAGGCCTACTCCTACGGTAACTTAGCGTTTACCCATTTCTACCTTAAGACATCTCATAAGACTACTTAAGGTGTACCTCTCTCACAATCCAAGCCCTTAGGATTTGTTCTATCACTTTTCATACTAACATTTCCGACTAGTAAAATCAATACTAATCCATTTGTCTTTAAGCCACCAAGTTCTTTAATTCATAGTTATAAGGCTCATTCCCATGAATTTCCCAATCTATATATGTTTTAATCTCAATATAAAAAATATCACTTTTATCCATTCATGATTTCTATACATGAAGTAAAAGTATATTTCATCACAAAAATTCATGATTCATACATTCATCATATCATCATTCTTACAATGCATAACTATACACCATTTACTCATAAATTTGTATATTATGCATCTTCTATTAGTAAACAACAATATTTTCATTAGGCATTATTAATCATTAATAATCCATGAAAATCACATTTAATTATCTTAGGTAATCTTATGAAATTAACCCAAGGATTATAAGCAATATAGTCGGTCATCCTCACCTTAAGTGAGCTTAAGCGCGTTCTACGCTCCCCGGTTGAACTTTGACTAATTCCGGTGAACTTTGACCAACTCCGGCGAACTTTGACCAACTCCGGCGAAACTCCGGCGAAGCTTAAAAATACCTTATTCAAGTTCCTAACAAGGTTTAACATCATAAAACCTTAATCAATACAAATAACCCCTAAAAGGTTATTTTCCGGTGAACTTGTCAGTTTGGCTTCTAAATCCGTTCTTGGACTTAGAACCACTCTCCAACCCATTATTCTACACTTAAATTATGTAGAACAACCCTCAAGGTTCTTCATATGATATATATCTCATATGATAGAAGAAAAAATAGAGGAAAAGTTATGATAAGGTCATTACCTTAATTTTCACACTTTTTCCTAGCTTTTTCCTTCTTTAATCTTCCTCCTTGGAACTCCTTTGCTTGAGCTCGAATTTGCTATGGAGGATAGTGGTTTGCAGAGGTTTCTTCTTCCCTTGGTGTGTCTTGGCCGAACTCAATGAGTGGGAGAGGAGGGAGGATAGTTTCTTTTGTCTTTCTTTGCAAATGAGTAAGGAAATGGGGTCCACTAGGTGTCAAAGGTGTTCCTCCCATCCTTTCACTTG